TCCCGTGTCTATTAAAAAGGGCAAGTTTACATTTGGTGACAATTCAGTCCATATTATTAATCGTTCAACGAAAATAAGTTTCAGGTTTTCCTACCGTTGAGCTGCTCGCGGGGCTTGCAGAGTCGTCTTGGCTTGCAGCTTGGACTTGGGGAACATTGCTCGGAGGTGGGACCTTGGGCTGGGTGTGGGTACCACGTTTTGGTACAGTGGTTGTGTGTGGTCGGGCGCTGTAGACTGGGCGTGTTTGGTCCCGTGGGAACCGTTGTTCACACTGGGAGTGCCAGTGCATGGCATTGCAATACTTGCAAGGCGAGGGGGGAGGTGTAACTGGGTATGTTACACGTGATGGCCGCTGGCTGTTGTACCGCGGTGGTGGGTTGTGGTAGGTGGGGTGTGGAGCCTTGTCTACTTGGCGCTGGTTCACTGCACTGGTGGCACACTGAGTTATTCTTGACACTAGGTCGAACCATTCCTTAATGGTGTTTGGCTGCACAGTTGCGACTAATCGCTGGTCTGCGACGGGTAGTCCGTCGGTCAGAGATTCGATTAAAATGTCGGCGGGTAGGTCGAGTTTCATACCCATAACCGTTTTGTTTTGGTAGTAGTTTTCAAGGGACATTTGGGGTGTCAATTTGATTGCCAAAAAGCGTGCAAACGACGCTTCTGTCGTTGCTGGGAATAAGTCTATCAATCTCTGGCGGGCTTCAATATAATATAACCTATCTAACCGTAGGCTTCGGAAATATTGGAGGGGCTTACCTTGTAGGTAGCAGGGTAATTTGCGTAGGCGATCTGTGTAGGTCAGTTCAGTTCGGTCTGCTTGGGCATCGAAGTTGTCGAAAAAGCTTTGGGCTTCAAAAGTACCATCGTATGGACTTACGTCTATCTCCCTAGGAGATCGGGCTACCAGTAACTTACTCAGGGCATCGGCGATCTGTGTCAGCGGGTCTGCGGAGGTATCTTGGGGCGGCGACGTTTCCTCCTCTTCCAATGTCGTCTCTTGTTTGGGGATAGTTTGTTCGGCTGTATCGTTGGACGGGTTGGTTTGCTCCTCCATCCTGCTTCTTGGCTCTTTTCTACCTGGACAGTCTTTTTACCTTCTTCGTTGTGGTCTCCTTCGTTGTGGTAATCCTGTCGACTCTCTGTAATAATGTGTTGAGATCCTGTCGACTCTCTGTAATAATACGTTGGGGTTTGGTAAGCCTGTTGTAGAATCCTGTCGACTCTCTGTAATAATGTTGCAATGTAGTAGTAGTTTATGCTGTTGAATGAATGCAGTGTGGCATGTTGGCTAGAAGCAGTCGTGGTTGTTGAGCGATGGGTGGTAAGGACACACACACAAAACGAAGCGACACAGTTGTCGAAGGAAAATTTCTTGAATAGATAAAAAGTCGAGCCAAAAGCAGAGATGGAGATAGAAGATTCCTTACTGTTTTACATGGTCGATGAGTTGGTCCCTGGAGACGACAAGGGGTGACGCTGACCGGAAGATTCACTGCAACTGACTCACTGTCGCTAAGGCCGGTCTTATTTATACGACAGCTCTGACAAAGAGAATTGGGTCATGCACGTGGCACACGTGTCGATGGACACCGGACACTGGCGACGGTCTGACGGGGTCCAATCTATCTTTAGAAGTTACTTTGTAAATCTCTCAATCTTGCTTTTAACTTAGCTTTTAATTTATTATATAGTTTTATTTATTTATCCTCAGTACATTACATAGGGGATACAAGGAAACATGTCAATTATGCGTATAATTAGTTATAGTTTATAATTAGTTCTATATACAACATGACAATTTTGTTATACGTATTACATAATATAGGGTTATTGGTTTAAATTATCATATATATATGTTATGAATATTTTGTTGTTGTTGTTAGATAAAGGGTTGATAAGACAAAGGATCGATAAGATAAAGGGTTGAGGTGCAGTCGTGATAAGAAAAATATAATTATTTACCGTCAAGTAGCTTTTATTTTCAATTACTTGAGGAAATATTACACATTAGTTATTTTCACATTATATAGAATTTATAAAGTTAATCCTATATTAGTGATTTAAAAGGATAGATATGTTAACTACGCATATTTACAACAAAACTGAAAGTCTTTCTAAAAACGATGATAACAAAAGTAAAATTATCAATGAATAAAATAAAATATATATTTTTTAAAATATAGAAATATTTGAATTTTTAGATTATATAATATATATATATATTTATCTTTTCATCTCTAACTTGCATACTAATTCTGTAAATATTTAAATATCTTTCTTTCTTTCAAAATTTTTGTTTATGTTTAAAGTGCAAGTGTCCCTAGGGGGACATCGCTCTAAGTCGAAATAAAGAATTATGAACTTTTTTTTTATCTCCATAGCTTTCTTATAATCACAAACACACACCCCATAACTAAGAGAACATATATAATTATATATTTTTATACTTTCCTCAAATCTTATATCCATAGTTCATCCAAAATGCCATTTCCAAGAGTTTATCATCAGTATCGATATAAAAGTAAAACAGCCAATGTGCAATATTAAATTAGTATGATAGATTAAACTGGCGAAACCGCTGGGAGGGTTCACCACTGATGAGCAAGGCCATCCCATTAATTTATCAATTGCAGTAAGGACAGTAGAAAATTGTTTCAATTCAAAAAGAATCATACGCCTCAAAAATAGTTTATATTTTATATAACAGATGGCGCACTAAAACGCTGTAAAAAACTCCGCTTTTACCGGTCCCAAGCCCGGATGAAAAAGGAGGAGGGGGAGCAGTAACAAGCTCACTAAAAAACCTGGGCTCAGCTGGCCCGGCTGATAGTACCCTGTAAGGTCTCCTAATCCAGGGATACAGGATGAGCAGCGTTTGTACTCCATGTTAGGAGCAGTTGCACATGGCGTCTGTTCCTCATGTTAGAGGCGGCCATTTCTTTTGGAGCTAAGTCGGCCTGCCACTGAGTAGTGCTCCCAGTCTTAATAACAAAGGCAGACACATTTTACTTCAAAGATAAGAAAGAATAAGAAGAATTGTGTTAAGGAATACTATAGGTTGAATTGTCTACAAATTGGATAAATCAAAATATTCAAGTTGTTGACAATACTCCACTAAAAAGCTTTCCATCTTTTGATAAAGGACGACAGTCAGTCGCCGAAAGGTCGATGACAATAATCTTTTTAAAAAAGGTTGATTAGTCTACAATTTGAATAGACTATATTTAAGACTCCAATTTCAGTCTCTCATACACTCATGGATAAAACTTAAAGAAGTTGTACCTTTTACCATGTACCATCGGGATTCAGACAATAACTCTGAAAGATATTACAGTAACCTTTATTGAAGACACACCAGATAACCAAGTGTGAACAAAATTGCCTCTGTCTTCTTAAAATACAAATTAAAATTAAAACAGACGACCGGCGAAATCAAAGACTTTCCAATTTTTAAAGTTTATTTTCCCATGAGTATATATTATTGAATATAACAGAAAACACATTTTGTTTTTATACAATGCTGTACGAAAAATAAATTTCAGAGAGAAATCTTATTTTTCGAATAATACAGTTTCCCCTACTGTCCTTACTGAAATGAAAAAATATTGGGGGGGGGGCTGGCTCATCAGTGGTGAACCCACCCAGCGGTTTCGCCAGTTTAATCTACCATACCACTCTAAAATTGTATTGGGCTATTCTGCTTCTATATTCCATATAATAAAGTAAAATTCCTGGTGAAGTTATTCTTCAAAGTAATAAGCACAAAATTCAATAGTTCCAAGCAATATCTGAACAAACGAAACTCTGAATGCTAATTGGCTAATAAACTCATCGCTGATCTTACTGATTGAGATCACATGATAGTAGTGAAACAATCAGCGAGCGAATAAATAGGACACAGGTATACACAAATATACATAAATGTGAAAAAATAGTAAAAATGTGATATTGTACTGGGTTAAGGTGCATAAATTAAGAAAAAGGCATCTCCTTATCGTGTAACTGAAAGTTGCTGATGGCTTGCGCCATCTATCGGAATAAATATCAACTATTCTCGTTGATTTTTAATTATTCCAGAATTGGCCAAATACCCATTCTTGATTAATCAAGAAACCACGCTGATGAGGGCCAACAGCCCGAAACGCGTCCGTGGTTAGCTTTTCTTGATTATTCAAGAATGGGTATTTGGCCAATTCTGGAATAATTAAAAATCAACGAGAATAGTTGACATTTATTCCGATAGATGGCGCAAGCCATCAGCAACTTTTAGTTGCACGATAAGGAGATACCTTTTTCTTAATTTATACATAAATATATTCAAAGAGAGTGTATTTTATATTATAGAGAAATGCTACAAAATAATACAAATTTCAATGAACTTTGTGCAAATATGCAAATATGTGTTGAGGAATTGTAGAGATTATGCAAATTTAAACAGGTTGGAGTTTCCTACCTGACAAGGAATGTGTGAGGTAACCATGCGGAAATGGAAATTCCACATCACACAGAGTGATTAATGATAAATCAATAAATTCCTATAAGGAGATGACATAACCGCGGCTGATACAGCAGGGGACATTCTCTGAGCTATGACAACATCTTGGAATGTTCAATAACCCAACTGGCAACACTGCTACTCTGTGAATAAATATATCGAAATTAACTAATATTATGCTCATATCATATACATATTTATTTGTAAATATTGCGCGCGCGCGCGTGAAAATATATCACAAATATAAACCATTTGACTTATAAAGGTCACCTCTCCCTTCAAAATTCATCTTTATAGAACAATTGTAAAGATAGAGGTTGCCTGGCCGGAATTCATAGTTATTCAAATTAAATATACTTCATTTAAAGATTATCCCGCATGAGTTTCTTTTCAACGAAAAATCAAAAATTATTTTAAGGAGAAATATCGATTATTTCTAACCTTAGGGATGAGGTATGAAAGGATGAATTGTGAAGAGTAATGATAAACGGAAAAATAAAAGTGACCAGGGATGGGAATCGAACCCACAGTGTTCCGCTTACCGGGCAGATGCCATGTCCACTAGGCTACCTTGGACATATTTATCATTACTCTTCACAATTCATCCTTTCATACCTCATCCCTAAGGTTAGAAATAATCGATATTTATCCTTAAAATAAATTTTGATTTTTCGTTGAAAAGAAACACGTGCGGGATCATTTTTAAATGTCGTTTTACAATCACAAGCCGCATTATATTGTATTATAAGGATACTTCGGTCAGTATTTTTTTTTATTGTTTCAACGTTTCGACAAAAGTCTTTTGTCCTCGTCAGGAGCGAACAACAATCAAAACATTTGACAAAGCTTTATATATAATTCTTAACGCTTTGCCAAATGTTTGATTGTTGTTCGCTCCTAACGAGGACAAAATATTTTTGTCGAAACGTCGAGACAATAAAAATATTTTACTGGCCAAAGTATCTTTAATTTGAAGAATTATAGATCAATTTACTCTCGGGAAAAACCATTAGACATTCTTTAAAAAAATATCATAAACGCAGAGCCATTTATCGGTCCCTGGTTCAAAATCACATTAATAGGTACCGCTCAGCAAGACCAACCTAGTTTATGATAATTGAAACAGTGAATAATATGTGAAGGTTATTAAGAGATATTAAACAATTTTTAACGCAGGATTCAATCCCGGTTCATGACTGTCGGGAATCGAGCGTGTTACCCTCTCGTCCACCGATTATGATCCATTTATCGGTGAAAATGGTGACAAATCTAACACAATATTGTGAGTCAAATTGTTAATATTTATATAGAAATTACTGATTAAGGATAATGAGTGTTTTAATTATTTTTAATTTATCATATTTTAGTGTATTGATGGCAAATGGTCAATATACACGCCCGCGCAGGTAAACATTTGATTTTACAGTCTTCTGTATTTCTCCACTTTGATAAAACTGTTGAAGAGCGTTTTGGCTCGAAAGTTTGCTCTTTTTCACAATAAAACTGATACTTATTGTTAATACTAGAAGAATGACCCGGCTTCGCCCGAGAAATCCCCCGAGTGAAGTATCCTTCATACTGAAAGTACATCAATAATAAATAGTAGAAGTGCCATAGAATAGCAATACAGAAGAAACACATAAAAGTGTGTAATGGCAAAAATTGTATTATATTAGTGTTTAGGTATTTGATTTAATCATTTTTTGCAATCCATTTAGTTGTTTCAAAATTAATATAGTTTAAATAAATGAGTTTTAAAAATTGTAAAAAAAAAAATGCATCGGCCGGGAATCGAACCCGGGCCGCACGCGTGGCAGGCGAGCATTCTACCACTGAACCACCGATGGTTATGAGAAATGGCCATATTTGGGTATTTATTCCATTCACAAAAGCAAACGGTGACAGAATTGATTAAGAATTGTTGCTTGATTATGACGCTGATAACTGTATATTTTAATTTTTATTAATTTCTATTAATTATATAAAATGTGCAATAACGTGTCATCTATACATTAAAAATATATAAAATAATTAAAGCACGATTATTTTTTTTACCCATAAAACAAACCTTTACTGTCCAACAACAATAATAACAAAGTTTTATTACGTCCTTTTAGTCTTATACAGATTCTCTAAGCAGAAATGTTCTCAGCACATCCCCCTTTTTAAGATTTGAAATATATACAGTGGTACCTCGACATACGAGTTTAATTCGTTCCGCAACCTTGCTCGTATCTTGAATTACTCGTATCTCGAAGCAAATTTCCCCATACAAAACAATTGAACTACCATTAATCCGTTCCAACCTCCAAAATGTCACCCTAGTTATTTTTGTTACGTGGTTTTAAATAATAAAAACGTATTTATAAATATCAAATATTTATTGCACAAAAACAAAAAAGAGAATGTAAAGAAATAAATTAGATATCCTTACTGGTCTTTGCCTTTTTCGCTACATTTTTAGCCGGCGTTACACTCTTTATCGACTCCTTCCGTTTAAGCACAGAACATATCATGGACGTACTACGGCCATACTGCCTCGACAAGTCAACAACTCGAACACCTTGCTCATGTTTTTCTATAATTTCACGTTTTAATTCAATACTCATAATCTTTTTCTTAGCACTTGACTTTTTACAAACTTTCTTCCCATCCATGGTTATAAAAATAAATGAACTAAAACTGTAAATGTAAACGCAATACAAAACACAACTTATCACAGCGGAAGCACGCTGCTAACTGATCGTGATGGCCCGACTGCGTGTTACTACCTGTTGTGTTTTAACTTTAAAAGCACACAAAAATATAATAAACTTGAATTTGTTTATTCAAGTCTCAAAAAACAAAGTTTTGCATATAGAACAAATAATAATGAAGAAGAAGAAAGAAACATTTTAGGAAAAGCAAAAACAAAAGTACTGGTCAAAAAGAAACATTTAAAATCACAGATTAATATCTTCAACACTACCGAACCGAACTCGTATCTCGAATTTCGCTCGTAACTAAAAGCAAAAAATCACTTGCTCGTCGGCTCGTATCTCGAAAAACTCGTATGTTGGGGCGCTCGTATGTCGAGGTACCACTGTATATACATTACAAACTTTAAATGCATAATATAATTAATAATGAAGGCGATCCACGGGTTTAACAATTCGTCCACTCCGGGTTCTTATCTGGCCGTCTTCTGAGTCGTTAGAGGGATAATCCACAACCGGGGTCTTTTCATTTTCAACCAGGTCCTCCCCCGAAAAGGTCGGCGTCGATGGGTCGGCTGGATATTGCACTGTAACTCCTTTTCGTAGATGGAACCTGTTTCGACGTAAAGTCCCAACTGGAGTATCAACCATATATGACCTTGGTGTCGATGCTTTCTGCTTTACAATCCCCCAGATTCGCATATCTGTAATCCAAACCGTGTCACCTTCGGATAGCTCCTCCATGTCCGTAGCTCCGCAGCGTCGATCATATCTGGATTTCATATCCTTTCTCCTTCTCCCCCTTCTTTCTTTTCAGGGTCTGAGAGTCCACCAACCTTGGATTAAGATTCTCTGGTGCAATTGGCAAGGTCGTTCGGAGTTTACGTCCCATGAGAAGCTCAGCAGGGCTGTAACCGTTCTCCAAAGGGGTCGATCGATACTCCAGGAGTCCAATCGATGGGTCTTGATTTTTCTTGAGGATCAACTTAGCAATTTTCACACCTGCTTCTGCCATCCCATTGCTCTGCGGGAATCGAGGACTTGAAGTGACATGTGTGAATCCGTACTGTCTTGCGAAATTTGCAAATTCACGAGCAGCTCCAAATTGCGTCCCATTATCGCTTACAACAGTTTCTGGGATTCCATGTCGGGCAAATATGGATTTGCAACTACGCACCACCACATTGGCTGTGAGCCGATCCAGCTGAATCATTTCTGGAAAGCGAGAATAATAGTCAATGACGACTAGATACCACTTATTCTCGAAGTTGAACAAATCCATTCCAATCTTTTGCCACGGTCGTGTAGGAAAGTTGGTTGGTATCAAAGGTTCATGTTTTGAGACGGCTTCCTGGATACAGACACTGCACTTTCTGACCGTTTCCGCGATCTCTTCCGAAATTCCAGGCCACCATACCGTCTCACGTGCGCGAAGTCTTGTTTTTGTAATCCCGAAGTGCCCAGCGTGCAACTTATCTAGGATCTCCAGTTTCATACTTACTGGAATAACAAGACGACAGCTACGCATCAGTAGTCCATTTTGAACGCCGAGTTCATCCTTGACATGCCAATAAGAGAGCAGAGCCTGTGACATCTTCTTCTTATCTGGCCAGCCTTGCTCAAGGTAGTTGACTACTGCTTTCAGGGTCGTATCTTCTTGTTGAGCTTCAAAATTCTTCGTCAACATCTCGTCTTTGTCGGTTATACACGAGAGAACTGCATTTATATGCGCCGAGGTTGGCCGTTCGTCTTCACCTCCCTCGGTTGTAAGAAGTGGTTGTCTGGATAATGCATCGGCGTCGAGCAGCTCCTTTCCAGGGATGTCCAATCTTGTTTTGAGATTTTCCATCAAAGGTATTGGTACCCGTCGAGGAGTATGCACAGCATATGGTTTTGCTCCAGGTTTCAATTTGATTTCGTAAGGGTTTCCGATCTGTCCCAGTACTTCAAATACTTCAGGGAATTCCTTGATCGGGTTAATTCTCTTCGCACCCACTTCAATCCGCCTCGCCAGGTTCAAGAGCTCACATGCCCGGCGACTCAGAAGAGGTTCACTCAAACGACGAATGACATAAATCTTCTCCTTGATTTCATAATTGCCATTTCGCAGCGTTGATATAAACATACCCACAGTCTGAAGTTCGGAGAATTCAGCAGCTCTCTTATGTTGATATCACTTTCCACTAGTCGTTGCTGTCCCACTATCTTCTTGAAGAGACACAGAGGAACACATGTAACATCCGCCTGGGAGTCGAGCTTGAACTTCACCTGTTTCCCGTTCACTTGGATTTCTGCTGTCCATCGCCTCCTGCACTCGCCTTCATCATCATCGAGATTAGATGAATCCTCCGCAGCTGAGACCTCCAGGAGAAAACCAATTTCTTCATCAAGTTCAGAAACAGCTTTGACTTCCGCAGTCTTCGCCTGCTTATCTGGGCAGCAATTTGCAAAATGGCCAGTTTTTGAACATAGGTTACATCTTTGTCCTTCAGCACGGCAAGCCTGTCCTTCCCTGTGGGTGAAACCTCCGCATTTTGGACATCGTGATCTTATTTTGGCTGACTTCTCCTTCTTCCTTGAAGGCTGCTGTTGTTGTTTCGGTGATTGTTTCTTCGAGTTGAACTTCACCTGATTGACCTTTTGGCTTGTTGAGGGACGCTGCAGGTCGACTTGCTGCTGTCGAACGGCTTCCTGCTGTCGAACCAATTTCACCGCCTTTTCCAAAGTCAGTTCGCTGTCCAACTGCATTCTTTCAGATAAAGCTTTGTCCCTCACTCCAACCACTATTCGGTCACTGATCAACTGCTCATGAAGACCCTCAAATTCGCAACTATCAGCCAATTTGTACAATGAAGTGATGAATTCGTCCACTGGCTCCCGA